GTCCATGTACATTCCATTCCGCCCAGTTTCATTACGTGTGTCCATTTACATTCTACATCATCCATTTTCAGTCCATATCGTTCATTTTTATTCCATTCTGATCATTCACATTCTGCCTCTCTACATTTCTCCCATCTGCATTCACTGCCATTCCTCGATCTCAGTCAGTCTCTTCATTACATTCCCTTATTCCTATAAGTTGCAAAGTGGTTCTTCATGTGACAGTCTTCATTTGTAGGAATGACTCTTGGAGAGAAAGGGTCGAGAGTAAAAAGACTCAATTGTTCCGTGACCAAACGTTAACACAAGAATCAAATGAGTCCAATACCCCCTGCCCCATTCAGCCATTCTGTTTCTTTCCTGATGCGATTCCAAGAAGGTACACTTTCGGGAGGGGGTGGGTGAGTCCATCCACATCTGAACTGGAGACTCACCCAAGTCAGTACTTCATTCATCTCATTCAAATACATTCAAGCACAATGAGGCAATCCGACTTAGGATACCTTTTTACTCGTTTTTTCGCCTCCTTCGATTCATTCTATATTTATAACTTTGTTTGGAATTAGAATGTGTTTCGTGTAATGAAATACAAAAGGAATAAACATACGAAGTCAAAAACGAGCCTGGACAAAACTACACTTTTTGGTTTGCAGTGCAATTATATCTGACGTTCTGAAATTCGACGTACGCGTGAAGAAGTGGCAGATCTGAGAAGATTCCGTAAAAACTGAGCTGGCCTAGCTAACACTGGCGAATCAGGTGAGAAACAGTCAACACTCGTGGATTCGTTTCTTGTGAACTGCACGCTCGTTTTTGGAGGCATATTGCTTATCGTAGGTATGTCGTACGGTGTTGAGTACTGGCTAATTCCAATATTTCCTTGTGGTTGTTTGACGTAACTCAATACTATGCGATAGACCTACGGTGAGCAATAGGTACCAAAATTCAGCATTCTTGTCTGCTGAAATAACAGACCTTCCCCTGCCTACATCCGCCATTGTTCACCAGACCAGCGAACAACCACCATTGTTCGCTACATTCTTACAGATCCGCCACTACTGTAGGCACAAGTCAAATTACTTAAGTAAGTAGTAATATTACTAATCCTGAATAAAACTGGTTAACCGTAAGCTGCAGATAATTTCAAGGCAACTCAAACAATTGGGTGGTAAAAGGAGTGGGTGGCCTGGTTAGCTGTCGGTCTGTCGTTACGTTAATCCAGCCCTCTTAATCAAAGTTGAGGTGTTGTTATAGTTTTTACAAAGGGTACACACAAATGTGAAATTTTGGCTTTGAACCTCACTGATTTGTAGTTTCTGTAGGTTGGGATCGCACCTTTTATGTAGCCACCTGTGGCACAATGAGCATTGAACCATTTGACCGATAGTGCCCTCTTTTATGCAATATTCGTTTTCACCGCACTTTAAACAAAGATGCCGCATTGTGGGGCTTTTACTTAATAATGCCGTAGCTAATGTTTTTCTGAAATCAACTGGTTTAAACGCCTTCGTAGGTTTGTAAATCCCCAGAGCACATAAACCGTAGAACATGATATATACTCCACAATTCGTTACATCAGTCTGGCGGGGTAACTTTGTATCTATTTTTGTTTTCCAGCCTGTGCAGTCTACCTGGTCTTTTGAAAACGCATTCCGTTGTTTAAGAAACGTAAGAAAAGCCGTTTTCTTCTGTGGTGTCTTCTGCAATCGACGCGGATCGAGGTACTGGAACTCTTTTTTTCCTACGTCAGCCACAATGAGACACCAGTGGTTGCCATCTACAAAATCTGGCATGAGGAGTGTCTTTCCACTTATATTGATATTGCTGAGTATGCTGCCTTCTTTCAGTCGACCGTTCAGGGCCTCTTCAGATTCATGGCAGCGAATGTTAATATGCGTAGCCCGTTTCTCGTCAGACATGTGAAGGTGGAAAATTGCATCTATTATAATATTGTGAATCCATCGTTCAGGTAATACAAGATGAGAAAAGTGAAGAGTACGAACTGAGGTGAGGCCTTCACCAAGACATGAGATTGCAAAATCTTCGGAGTCTGGAATTTTTTCAGCAGTATTCACATAATAGTCGGAATTCTGAAACAGGCCATTCTGATACCTTTTAAAGAGGAGCTCTTTTGAGTCCCGTACTAAAAAGTCAGACTCATCCAATATGTCTTTCGCACGACCAATTATGTACTTTGCCAGAGCAGCCCGATATTTGGCTGGATCAAAGTCGCTCCAGTCTTCATTGTTTAACACGGATTCGATATACTTCAAAACATACGCTCCGCAGTTTACATTGTCGTTTTGAAGAGGATAATCATACTTGCATGTCAGTCTGAATTCCATTCGTCCTTGTCCTGACCTCAGTACATATTCAGAGAAAAGTTTCATCAGAGATTCTCCGTTGTCTGGTTCATGTGTTCCTGGATCTAGCAAAGAAAATGTTTTTGCCCGCAGGTCGATGAAACAAAGTATCCAGTGCCCTGGCATAAGGTAAGGAACCAGAACTTTACTATAATTCGTAATTTTTATTTTGTTTACAGACAGACCAGAAGAAAATGGGGAATGGAAAATTTCAGCACCTTCCGTCGTCGACAGAAGGCATACATTAGGATCACCGTGCAATTGCTCGAGGCAGTGTAGGCAACCATCCACGGTAGCTGAAGACAGGGCCTTGTCATCCAATAGTTCAATTAAGTCACCCAGCGAGACGAAGCGGTCAAGCTCACCATAGATTAAAACGGGTCGCGAAGAGTCGCATCTGCATGAGTTACGAACAAACTCGATTTCACTTCTACTGAGATGTTCCAACAGCCGAAGACCACTAAAAGTAGAACTAGGAGGTACCGCATATTGGCCGTAGTAAATCTTTTTGAGACCCATTACAGGTGGACTCTCCTCGGTGAAGATGACATCAGCATTCGTTTCGAGGTCTTTGTCTTTCCCATCATTTTGGATGTGTGAAGCTGCGTCAGCTAAAGACGGTAAAAGCTGTTTAGTAACTTTACCAACGTGACATGAGAGTGCAGGAGTCATGTCAGGGTTAGTGCGATGCCATGTTTCATTTGCACCTAACACGTCGGAGAGTGTGCGTCCTTTAACTGACGTTTTCTTTTTAAGTGAAAGCTGTTTAGCTCTAATCTTCTTGATATTTATTTTTGGCTGTGTCCCCTCTTCATTGTTCCAATTTAATTTTTTTTCGTCTGTGTCCAAATCAGCGAGATGTTCATTTATTCTGTCAATTGTAATACCTTGAGAATAAGAAAATTTCTTGCTGGGCTTGTGCCAGTCCTCTGTCGCTGTTGGGCGGACATCCATAACACGTTTAGGAGATGTAGATTCTCGCGACGATTGTTTCTCCTGTTCTTTGGGAGTTGGAGGATCGTCACATGGATCCTCAAACGGTAAGCCGTCTGTCCGAATTCGTGTGTACACAGCGGTCGCGGTGGAAAATGCGTAATTCCTACTTATTTCAATAAATCTGCCTGGCTTTTCATGCTTTTTCTTGTGAATTATAGTCTTTTTCAAGTTGAAGTAACCCTCAACTGGAGCATTTGTGGCTACAAACAGATTTGCACCACCTTTCAATTCATCTAGAACACTTGTCCATAGTGGAATTAACGCTGCATAATGATTCTTAAAGAATATCTCTTCAACAAATTGTGGACAGAAAAATGGATTTGCATCGCCAGACGTTTTTCTAATCGGAATGAGAGGGTGAACACCATACTTCTCTTCAATCTCAGAAACAAGCTTTCTACAATGTACATGAAAAGGGCTAGCGTCCAGAGTTCTTTTACTTTCAAATTTATGCTCATCAAGTAATTCTCCGATGTTAGTTACAGATGGCTCATGGAAAACTTCGGACAGCGTGTCCTCTTGTATCCCTAGCACTTTAAATGCTTCAAGAATTCCAGCGTGTTTCTCTCTGCTATATAAAATCACTAAGAAGCTCTTAAAATAGCAGTCAAAGTCTTTAAGAGTTCGGCAAATCATCAATTTCAGAATAACCTCAATAATAACAGTTTTAATCTTACCTGAAATAAGATGGGCCTTTAGATTTGTGCACACCATTTTCGTCCAATGATTTTTGCATAGTCGTACAATAATTAGAGCATCCATATCTGTGAACGTGTATTCCCCACGGCAATATTTGTAAGCTGCAACTAAGTATACGTCGAGCGATGTGTGGTTCCAACGAACCAAAACAGCGTGTATAAGTGCAAAGCTGCAGTCAACCACAATTCGACCAAGGCATGGCCAACTCATTTTCAGCGTATTTTCGCAGTACCTTCTGAACATTGACAATATACTGCCGATTGAGTCTTGATCATGCTTACAACTAATCAATTCAAATAAAGCCAAATAATACCCATTAATATTCACAACGCAACTGTACAGATATATAACATCTCCAGACGTTATGGTCGTGCGAATGAATTGCCCAGTGGCGTCTAAGTGCACGGTTATTTTTTTCCTATTTCGTGAGAAATAGTTAAAAACAACTCGCAGTACAGTACCCGCAAACATGTGAATCATTAGTGGATCTGAAACCATCTGTATATATCTAAGATCTGGATCATAGTGCAATTCATAGTGTCGTTTCAAGATACAATCACAAATATCTTCTTTATGGAAGTCATCTGCAGCATTACGTGAGGCCTTTATTGCCTTGTACTGTGCGTCACTTTTCACATTCCCCCAATTCTTTTCATTAAAAACCATTGGATTTATCTGCTTTATCATTTCAAGTTTATAGGTGTGTGGTGTCTCATGCTGCATATCTTCTTCCATCATATCCCGTTCACCCCCACGTACTTGATTAGTTGCTGTGAGGACATCTTCATGATTAAGTTCCCCCGCTGAACGTACCGTTACCCTGAAATCCTCCCCTCTCTTTGGAATGAAGAACAACTTGTAAT